GCTTTCTTGAGGGCCTCGTGGGCTGCTTTGAAGACTGTCCTGTTGTCACCCTCTTGGCAGCTGGAGGGGGCCTCGCGGGGGCCCCTCGAAGCCTCCTTGGAACATCTTTGGGGCCCTCTCGGGGCCCTGCATTGGCCCCAAGAGGCCCCCAAAGCCTTCGGAAAGCGAATATCTTCACTCCCCTGGCCAAAGCAACTCGCGCGGCCATGTTCTCTGGGCGGGCCTGGGCGGATGCGCGAAGCGTCATTGAATTTCAACGGGGCCCCCATGAGAGGAGCTCACCATGTGGCAACTCGGATGGGACAAAACGCAAGCAATGGCAACGCCTCCATCGGCGATGCATCGATATCTCGATCACCTGCCAACCCTATCATCGGCCACTCGCTCCCCTGCAGGCCCCCCTGCATTTTTCCAACGCTGCGCCGAAAGATCAACACGACAAGCGACGATCGTTTATCGCATCCGTCCACTCGTTCCCGCGCACTCGGCCCTCTATGGAGCGCGGGGCAGAGCAACGCCCCAAAAAAATATTCCCCTAACATTCCCACGGCGTGGTCCAACTCCGAAATGGCGCACGCCTCTCCGGCGCGCGCGCCAATCAGCGGGAACCGAACCACAACCAGAATGTAAAACTGAGCTGCGACCTCGACGGGCGATGGCACGCAGCTTCCAGCGAACGGTCACTGCGCCGTCCCCCCGAACCCTGAAACACAAGAACTTACGAGATGTTGCATTCGTGCGTCCTCCCCCCCTCCCTCTCCGCCCGCCCCCGCCCGCGCGAGTGACCTACCTGGAACTGGAACTCTAGGGCGACCTCACGATCACGATCCATCAGGCTGGGCAGGGGCAACGGGGGTGGCCGTTCCAGAGACTGGTGTCCCCTGCCCCTGGTGGCCCTCTGGACGGCTCTCGTCCAAGTACTGGTCCAAAAAGGTCTTGATGAAACCCACGCGGCCCTGGGCGATTTCGGGCTTCTGGGCGATCGCCTCGTCGAGGTACTGAACCGCCGCCTTCGCGTGGAAGGCGTTGCCGTGGATCAGCCAACGGAGGCCGTGCGAGGAGTCGTCACTTGCATTGACAGTGAAGGCGGCGAACCTGGCGGGGATCACGAGGCAGACGCCTGGCGCCATGCGGTAGCTGAAACCATGCTCCTCCACGATCTTGAGCCACTCTCGCATCGCCATCTGCCCGAGAATGCGCTGCTTGTCAGCGTGCGTGGCGCCTGGGACCATGCTGGATGGAATGCCGCACATCATCTCATTGCCTTCGAGGCACAACTTACACTCCACAAGGCCGTAGTCGGAAATGGTCGCCATCCTGTGGGACTGGCCGTTCAGCTGGTAGAACTGCGGGGCCATCGCCTCCTGGGCCTCCGGCGAGCTCGCGGGCAGGGCGGCGCTAATGGCCTTCTCCAGCTTCTCGATCGACGTCATCACCTTGCGCAACACGGTCGACTTAGTGATGACGGCTGAGGTCTGCTTGAGGGCGCTAGACTTCATCACTTGCTCCACCCATACCTTCTGCTGCTTGTAGTAGTCGAGTGACACGACCTCGTCGACGAGAAACTTGCACCTCTCGGGCGGCAAGACGACCGCAGAGGGTTCCATGGCAGTGAGCAGGTCGGCGGTCACGCTCCAGCGCACGTTCTTGCAGCTGCTGGCGTCTTCGGGCGGATTCTGCATGAGCGAGGCCCCCAGCGAGGTCCCGCAGACGGTGATCTGCGCGACGTCGGCCTGCTCCTTGCGGGCCGCCTCCTTCGCCAACTGCTTCTCCTTGTTGCCGACGGCCTTCCTGGTGTCGCTGATGGTCTTGCGGAACTTCTTCATGGCATCCTTGGCGTCGGAGCGCGGCTTCCAATCCGAATTGAAAGACTTCATGAACAAAGGGATCTTCTTGATCTCAGCGCTCCACTGCTGGCCTGTGAAGCCCTCGCTCGCACTGGTTGCCGCCCACTCGCTGAGGTTTCGTTGCTAGTCAGGAGGGCAGGGGAAGCGGGGGCAGGCAGGGCAGCAGCGGCAACAACAGTAGCAGCAGCGGCTCTCGGCTATCCAAAACATTGCGTCTGGGCCAGTCGACCCTACCTGAAGCGCGCCAGGCCCGAGCCACGAGAGAGCGGACCCTTAACTTTCCGATTGCATGCGAGCGTGGGCGCCCCCCGAAACCCCGAAGATACGCAGCCCCATGGGGCGGGTCAAAAGGCCAACCGTGCAGCGGGCGCCCCCGGCACACGGGGGGGGGCGGGATGGGGGGGGCCGCGGATGGCGACAGCCTTCCACCGTGCACACGGCGTGATCCTATCGCAGAGCGTGCCAGAGTTCTATGCTATGCTTTTGCTGCGAGCCGACGGCGACTCAGCGGACTAAGGACGCGCCGAAAGAAATATAATCCGAAACGATGCGAATGACAAGAAACAACCAGCGCCCCCTCTCACTGACCCTCCCCCCTGGCGAGATTTCCAAGCCCGACGGGCGCAATGAAACCGCGAGCGTTGCTCTGAACAAGCGCTCAAAACCACAAAAGAATGTCCTCTTGATCCTGGCGACGGCAGTGGCGAGCGGGTCGATCTGTTCCGTGACCGTGCTCTTCGCCGTGTCCAGGCTGCGCTTGAGATCATCATCGGGGTCGTTCTGCTTGCTCAGCGCCGCCTTGGCGTCGTCGTACTCGGACTGCACGGTGCGCCTGAGGCGCGACACCGCTTCCTCCATGGTCTGGGCCGCCCTGCTCGTACTGGTCGAGAAGTTGATCTTCTCCACGGCGGCGGTCTTCTCGGGCTCAGGCTTGGGCTCCTGCGAGTGCTGCTTGATCTTCGCCTGCTCCTGCTGCGCCTGTATCTCGAAGTCCAGGTCCATCTGCCGCTCCAACTCCTTCTTCGCCTCGAGGTCCTTCAGCACGCTGGCGTTGATCACAGAGCCAGGGGTCAAGATGTCCTTCCCCTCGATGATGTGGTCCACGAGGGACAATGAAACCTTGGGCCCTGCTGGCGGCGCCACCTCGTGCTCGCGGTTCATCTTGCGCTTGAAGCGATCCCTCATGGTCTCCGCATGCCGCTCGAACTCTTCCAAGTCTGAGGCCGATTGGATGTCCTGCTTCTGGCGCACACCAGTGTTGACCATCGAGGCCTTTCGGGGCAGACGTAGCCGCAGACATAAGCATGCGCTTGCCTTCCTCGCCTCCTCCTCCTTGTCGTTCCCTCGTGGTCCTTCTCGTAGTCCTCCTCCTTCTCCACCTCCTGCACCCCCTCCTTCCCCTCCTCCTCCTCCTCCTCCTCCTCCTCCTCCTCCTCGCCCCCCTCATCCTCCTCCTCCTTTTCCCGACGCGCGGAGGGGGGATGCGTGAGCGACGGGCGCGTGTGGGTGGGCGATGTCGCGATGTCGCTACACCTCCCACCCTCTTCATCTTCCTCCTGGACATCCTCCTCCACCTCCTCTTCCTCCCATCCCCATCGTCTTCCTCCTCGTCCTCGTCCTCCCCCTCCTCCCCCTCGCCATCGTCCTCCTCCTCCTCCGACTCCTCCCCCTCCTACGCCTCCTTCTCCTCCTCCTCCTCGTCCTCGCCCTCCCCCGTCGCCCTCCCCCCGCCTCCTCCCTTTCGACGCCTGTCCCTGCGGCTACCCCTGCCCCGCGCCTGGCGAGTGCGCACCTCCACGCACAAGAACTTCCCCAAGCAGAGCTCGCCGCGAACCATCCTCGTCTTGGCCCCAGGCTTGGTCACCGCTTTCTTCCACGCGTCCTCGCTCCCGTCGTTGCCCTCCCTGACCTGCTCGCTAGACCACGTGCTGAAGGGCTGGAAGACGTCCACCTCGTCGTCCAGAGTGCCGCTGGTCTGCTGGTTCTCTGCGAAGCCGACGGGCTCCCCGAACTGCCTCTTATTCCCCCTGTTCTCCTGGAGCCTCTTCTGCTTCTCCGCGCGGTACCACTGCGCCCTCTCCTCCGGGCTCATGGTCTTGATCTTCTGCTTGAGGGCCCTGGCCACCTTCGCCCGCTTGTCAGCCTCCTCGGCCTCGGCGGGGTCCAGGGGGGCAGACCTCTTCTTGGTCCCCTTGCCATCGTCCGCCTCCCGATTGAGCCATCGGTCGGTGGCGCCGCACGCGTTGCACACGCGCTTGAGCGCATTCCTGCCGTTCGCAGTCGAGGTGTTCACGGTGGTTGGATCCTCACATTTCACGCACAGCAGCGCATGCGACATGCTGCCATCGCAGCTGCCGCTCGCCCCTGAAGACATTGGTAGGTTAGTGTACCCACTCTCGTGCTGGCAAGCACGCCTCGAGCGGCAGATCGCTGCAATGTTTCAGCCGTGCCAGAATTGGCCCGCTCAAAATTGGCCCACGGCGGCCTCTGGGGCGGGGGAGTGCAAGGGGCGGCTAGGGAGGCGAAGGGGGGCGGCGAAAGGAAAGAGAAGGGACGGGAGGGAAGTGAGGGGAGGGACGGAAGGAGAAGGAGAAAGGAAGGAGGGTGAAAGGGATAAGTGAAAAGGAAGGGGCGCAGGGGGGAGGTGCGGGGAAGTGGGGCAGAACGAAACTATCCCTCACAGATCCCGCTCACGCGCCAAGCGCCGAGGGCCCCAGACCACGCCCCCCCACCCTCGAAAAAAACGAGGGGGGGAGGGGGAGGAGGAGGAAGAGGATGATGATGATGAGGAGGAAGAGGATGAGGAGGGTTCGAGACCGATGGTTCCGACCCCGTTCAGCAACGACGCGGTGCCCAACGATAAACGCGGATTATCGAATAGGGTTCTGGGGCTACCACGTGGAGAAGAATAACGAAGTTAACGGAGCTAGATGATATCGATGGCGAGCGCGCCTCCGAGGAGGAGGTCGCGATCCACAACGTACCCTGGTGACATTCGGTGGCCCAACATGCAACGGTTAAAACAGCGCAGATTGTCCCGCGCAACGCTTCTAGCCACGGCCGTGCGACGGGGACAATATTGATCATGCCCGCACGTCGACGGCTAACGCCTACTTAGGCAACGCCCTGGCAGGCTACGACGTCTCCACATGA